TTCCTCCAACAAGAGGTTCTCGTTTGACACGGTATAATTTGAGTGGTTGATGTTGCATGACGTCATGTTGTGCTGTACGTGACAAAGATAGGGAGTTAAAATTTAACATCACAGTATTCCAGCTATATCATGCTAAATATATATATCCCTATGACATGTTTGCGAAATGTAAAATATATCTCAAGAGTAGACCCGTGAAGATCCGGGTTACAATCATTGATCATCAGTATCCCATGCTTGTCTTAAAAGGCCACTTATGGGATCAGGTGGGGCAGACTCGCAGACTTGGTTAACACATGTCATCGTATCCCGATTATTTACAGACCGCCGCAATATACTTACCAGGAATATTGCTGAGTGGGGCGTTAAACAACAAACCAACTAACCAATCAAGAGAGAATAATAGATTCAGTAGTAACCAAAACCGTGCCCAGCAACAAACACTTTGAATATCGGCTGTCTTACCATTTGGAACGAACCTATACGTTTTGTTCAGGTTTAACGTGCCTGAATGGGGCATGAGTGTTAATCATCCATTAAAATCACTATCCATGATTTAGATATACTATCAAAATTCATAGGTCCCAACACCATTATACTCGGAGAGTATAAAATGGGGTTTCCATATTAACGTAAAGAAAACCCGTGGGCATTCTATTCAAAACACAGCGAATGCAGAATTATACCCCCAAACTGCACCTAACTAAGCAATAAATTGAATTCAAAGAGGAAGCTAAATTCTCAGGACTAACTTTCGACCACCAGATGACATGGACACCCCACATTCATAATTTGATCAACTCATGCCAAAAGGATTTAAACCTACAGAGTCCATCGGATTAATGGGCTACATTGATTGTGTTGGACTCTTCCTCGGAGTATGGTGATTGTGTGTAACATTCCTACAAACTGAAAATGTGTCAAGGAAATAATGTTTCGTTTTATTGAATGCAGATATAGATATAATATCCTTGTATATATTTCTTCGTATGAATGCATTTTATTTAATGCATCAATTGCAAAAATAAAGAGTCAAAACATATATTTAATGCATCAATTTCTCATTGTATCGTATGAGTAGGCAAAGATAAGTACAAAAGTACAAAAATAGAGTCAAACCATCCCACATCCCTTTGCGGCGTCTTTTTGTGGTATGATCCAATGTTTTGATAACTATTTAATAGCTAAGATCACAGTGCTCATCCGTCGAATGCATTTGACTACTCTGAAATCAGAAATTCGACGGATCGGTACGCGACCATCAGGAGCAGGGTATCTTAATCGGTTTCCACAATATAACCGGCAATAGACGACAACACAAGCACGCACACAGAGCTATGAAAGTGGTATAAGCTATGTTGTCATTACCATAGATTTCGGACATTTAATATGTCTGCTCATCCTGCACATAATGTAAATGTAACTATCCACTATGACAGACTTACTTATGTATTCGTTTGTGTGTTCCTTTAGTTGTCCACGTCGATGGAGAATACTTCAAAATGTCGCTTGCAAATCTATGCCAACTGCTACGTATGTGAAAGCGTCAGTGTTCAACATATTAACGGAATCGGCAGGTTCCAGTTTCATCCTGTTGACAATAGATATAATCTCGGATATTCAAATGTAAAGATCTAACCATCCGAACGTTCCTAAAATGTTCAGGATGTTTTTCTCAAGAGTCGATGTCAGGATTGGCAAGAGAAGGATATGTTTATCCTGTCGTCACGCCATTGTACTTTAGAATCTGATCTCAGCAGACACTGCAGTTAAACCATGCATTGAGTTTGTTGGTTGGCTAGTTTGTTGTTTAACGCCGCACTCAGCAATATTCCACCTACATTGTAGAGATCTGTAAGTAATCGAACCTGAACCAGACAATCCAGTGATCAACAGTATGAGCATCGATCTATGCAATTGGGATACGATGACATGTTTTTAATTGAGTCGGCGAGCCTGACAGTTAGTCGCCTCTAACCCGGATCTTCACGGGTACCTGCATAGATAGGGAACCACACGACATAGTCACCCATATCGTGTTTAGAATATCTTTTTTTTGTAGGATTTCAAAAGCATTGACAGAAAGTTTGAGACCGAATCATTTGATTAACGTTGTTCGTTCTCAAATAATAACAGCAGGATTTGAACTGAACATGAAGTGGCCGAATACCAGTGACGTCAGACGAGATCGGTATATGGTGACGTCACTTGAAATCACATCTGCTCGAATGACTTCACAGCAGATCAATCAGCGGCCGAATGAACACATGTTCATTATTACAAGTGTAACACAAACATTGGCGGTGGGGTAGCACCGTGGTTAAAGCGTTCGCACGTCACGCCGAACACCCGGGCACAATGTGTGAAGCCCATTTCTGGTGCCCCCCGCCATGATATTGCTGGAATATTGCTATAAGGGGCGTAAAACTAAACTTACTCACTCACTCACTATAACACAAACAACGAAATGTCAGCTTCAAATCCTTTATTATTGATGATGATAATAACAATAAATTATCTAAGATATTTACATAAAACCGAGTGGGGGAGCCGTGGGCGAGCTGTCTAAGGCGCCGGACTAGTGATCCAGCGGGCTTAATAGAACCCACGAATCCGTTGGTAAATGACCAGATGGTGGCTACATGAATACGTGCAAACACCTAGTTGCGGGTACTGCAACGTGTAGTAAACTTGGACAAAGTACTGTGACTACTTGCCCACCCAGCTGTGAATGGGTACCTCGTAAGAAAGGGAAAGTCACTTTAACGCCTAGTGGGTGCAAGAGTTGTGTGATCCCAAGGGAGTTGCGATTGACATCCAATCATCGTGGGAAAAACAAAGCGCCTTTGAGCAGCTGAGCAGGATATTGGTGCTATACAAATATTAGCATAGAAATAATAGTAGGTGTTTGATTCCCCACATAATAAGTGCGCAAAAAAAGCGACAAAAAACATTTCATATTTATAGGAGATTACGACTATATTGTAAGCATGTGTTTCGAATCTGTATCAAATAGCCAGCTATCATACAAGATGAGCGATCTTATCAGGGAAGAGTAGCCTTTCAGATGACATGCGTCACAAACACATGCAAAAGCTAGTCAATATTATTCACCTGAAAATTAAACGAAAAACACCTTGGGACATATGATACAACCTATGGTCTCAATGACCTACTTTTCAGCCGATCCGATTTTTTTCGTGTGAAAATGAAAAGAGACACTACAAACAACTATGGTTACACTGAATTCCAATTCCTTGTTTCATAAGAAAATGGTATTTACAAATTAATTTTAAAGTTTTAAAAAATCGTATTTCTATATTTTATGTCGAGGTTTAGGCAGCATGTTTAAAATGGTCGTACACTGATTCACAATTCATCTGGCTCACTGGTTACACCTGTTATGTGTTCTTTGCGCTTATTCAGTGTATTTTTGTAACGTACAGTGTGATTCATATACATCAAATCCGTACCAGACCGCCAAACGTTTCTCCCGGCCGACCCTCGTTTTGAGATTTTCACGATTTCCAAATTTCCGTTTCTCAGATCATGCTGTACGACAGAGCACGCTGCACGATGTGATTGCAAGGATTAGAAGGATCGTTGTGTGGCAATATACAAGTGATTAGATGTATCAAATAGTACTGATTAATATTTATATATCCAGTTGAATGAGCTGGTTTCAAACTTCTGGACTGGCTATTGTACTAAGTTGCGTAATAGGACGGAACCCAGTCAGCAGGAAACGAAACTATTGTGTAATCAATGTTTTCACTTGATACTCTGTTATGAGCAGGAGAACAGTACTTTAACATATTCTTTTGTTTAGATTTGTTTCCAAGCAGACGAAGCCTGACTTTTATTTATGCACATTCTTACAACTGGGTTTTGTTGTGCTCGATAAATGACAGCGATTGATCAACTGTAGCACCGGAATCTCCGTGGGTTCGTACAGACAGACACGAACGCACGCACGCACGCACGCACGCACGCACGGAAGCACAGTAAGGTTCCACAAACACGCACACATGCCACAAACACGCACACGTGCAAATTGTGCATACCGAATACTTTCAGTGGTAAGCCTAATTCTGCGATTAGCTACTCGCCAACTTGCTACACTTCACAGTCAGGGTTGTGACTTAAGAAGGAAGGTATAAATAAAATCTAATCTGACATCCTGCTACTATCAGTGTCTTGCACTTGTTACTTTCATTTCCTCTTGTGGTCGGGGCGTTTGGGTAGTCTAGTGGTTAAAGCGTTGCTCGTCACGCCGAAGACACGGGTTCGAATCCCCACATGGGTACAATGAGTGAAGCCCATTTCTGGTGTCCTCCGCCGTGATATTGCTGGAATATTGCTAAAAGCGGCGTAAAACCAAACTCAGTCAGTCAGTGCTCTTGCGGTCAACAAACGCTCGTTTTCAGATGTCCTGCGATTTGGCGACGGCCTTTTCCTATTTCCTTGCTACTCGGGGTGATTATTGAGGGGGAATTAAACAGCTATTGCCATAGTGATAGTCTATTGCGACGAACTATTGAAATACTATTGAGATACTTATTTCCCATTTAAAGTCACTTCCCAAATGAATGTATAGTTTATATGAAATATATTTAATAACTGACAAGAACCCTGAAACCGAGATCAAGTAAACAGTTAAAACCCAATTGAAGCTGCAAATCATCACCCAAACGATTAGAAAATACAATACAACATAAATAATTTAATAAAAATATATAATAATTTATCAACGAAAGTCAGTTTAACTAAACTATCGATAGTCACACATACTATCGATTCACCATGCAAATATAATTTTACGTTCCTACCATCTCTTCTACCATAATTGCTATCGGAGACTCAACAATTGCAATCCATCGATAGTTCGATGTATCGTTACAGTCCTGCTTGTTACTCAAGACACAGTTCATAAGGGTCATATTAAGAACATATAGGAATGAATGAGTGACTTGGGTTAACGCAGCTTATGAGAGTGTTGCAGTTATAATGGTTGATTAAATGTGTTAAATATTGAGTCTCACAAATTGTTGAAATCACATGTGATGACTGACCTTTGCCCTCACAAAAGTGGACCCATCATATACGCTGTTTTAGAAACCACGTGCTCTAGTATTTTCTAGTGTAGGATCGTAACAGACGAGACATTTTGGAACAAATACTTTAAAACACTCACGTCGGAACCTCTTGCTCATAAACCCGTAGACAAAGGGGTTTGTCATAGAATTAAGGTAATAGAACCGGATCAGGATTCTACTCAGCAGTCCATCAAGAGGCCATTTGGGCTCGGGGACACTTCGACTGCTATGATGACAGCAAGGGGAAGATAACTCAACATGAAGACGGATGTCACGGTAAAAGCAATGAAGGTTATTCGTTTTCTGCTGGTTGGTCTCCCCTTAATCTCGTTTGGTATATCTTCACTTTGATGGCCTGGGCTTGGACCTGTGGTGCTATGTTTGGTTGAATTACTCGTATCCATTAGGACGAATTGGGTTTTCTTCCGAATGTTTATTTCATGTGTCCGTATTTCTCTCCAGATGTGGACATAAATATAACATAATACCGCGGAGATAAGCATTGCACCTAGTCCGATAGCTACCTGGTAAAAAAACCGGAATGCTGTGCCCGTAATTTTGTCAGTAGATTTACAGTCTTGACCATACAGTTCCTTCATGCTTGTTTTCACTGTTTCTGTTCCATATATCAACACAGCCGGCAAGGACAGGAGGATTGCAGCAGCAGTTGCTATGGCAACATACTTCCTAGCATCTTTAAACGTCATTTGAATTGACATTGGCCTACACACCCGTTTGTATCTGTCGACTGTTATGATCAACAAAACAAATGTCGAGTCGATATTGGGAAATGCTACAAGAAAGCGAAAAATTTTACACGCAATATCACTTTCAAAAACGTAGAAATATCGCAGGTCTATTATTTCAAACGGCATGTTCAATGTACAATTCACCAGATCCAAGGCTGCGAGAATAACCAGAAGAAAAGTGTTGACAGACAAAGGAATCCTTCTTGTGAATATGTAGCATACTAAAAAGTTTCCAAAGAATCCGATCACCATTATGACTCCTACAAACGCCATGGCGGGGATGAGAGTCTTGGCCATGTTTTCATTTTCCTTCCACAAGAGGTTCTCATTTGACACGGAATAATTTGATTGGTTGACGTTGAATGTTGCCATGGTGATTTTCATAGGCGACACCTTGAACATGTCTGGAATCTAAAACACATCAAGGTGTAACAGGTATATTGTGAAGAAATATAGTTGTATAGGAGTGAGTGAGTGAGTTTAGTCTTACGCCGCTTTTAAGCAATATTCCAGCAATGTCACGACAGGGAACACCAGAAATGGGCTTGACACATTTTACCCAAGCGGGGAATCGAACCCGGGTCTTCGGTGTGACGATTGAACGCCTTAACCACAAGGCTACCCCACCGACCCAGTAGTATAGTACTACTCAACAGAACCCTGAGGTGTACCAGAAACCTGGATCGTTGGTTCGAACCAAGATTCGCCGGGATCATGGTTTGTTAGAGAGAATTCCTCCATCTATCTGGGCTCCATCCAAGTTAACGTGCCTCCATAAGACCGAAATGCTGTTCACAACTCATTAAGCCAAACCTGCTCACTTACGACAATATACAAAATAAAATACATGTAACAGAACAAGTATGTAACGTATGCTTATCAAGTCCCAGGCTCCGATCCACAGTCCTAGACCCCAATCCACAGTCCTAGGCCCCGATCCACAGTCCTAGGCCCCGATCCTTACGACTCATCGTAACTCTACACTTTAGCACAGGCTTAGGAATTCCGTAGTGCTACGAACATTAACGTTTTATGGATCGGGTCCCTGGACCCTGGAAAGTTAGTCCCTGCCATACTTACTTTTAAGGGAGCCATTTTACATCCTCACGACACAGTTTGTTGTCTGGTGTGATTTCTTTGTAAGGGTAACACAAATTCTACACGAAGTTGAAAGGGCTCGAGTGAGTGAGTGAGTGAGTTTAGTTTAAGGCCGCACTCAGCAATATTCCAACTATTTGGCGGCGGTCTGTAAATAATCGAGTCTAGTAAAGACAATCCAGTGATCAACAGCATGAGTATCGATCTGTGCAATTGGGGTACGATGACATGTGTCAACCAAATCAGCGAGCCTGGCCTCCGGATCCGTTAGTCACCTCTTACGACAAGCATGGGTTATTGAAGATCAATCGTAACCTGGATCTTAGAATGCAGTCAAGTGTAATACATTTATATCGTGGTGCCCTGCTACCCCAATGTCTGTACCATCCAGTGATCAACAGCATGAGCATCGATCTACGCAACTGGGATACAACGACATGTGACAACTAAGTCCGGAAGCTTGACCATCCGATCCTGTTAGTCGCCTCTTACGACAAACATGGGTTGTTGAAGACCAATTGGAACTCCGATCTTCTCAGGGTCGATAACTAATTAACGTCTTTGCAGAATATTTTAATATTTTTCATTTGCTGGTTTATAAACTCATAACTTTCATCAACAACACTGGATTACGAAATGCAAATATGTTCTGGAATATATTTATTGTCGTCTTTCCCAACTGCATTTTGAAAAACCCACATTAAAACATTCCTGTCTAAACCTCAGACTCATGAATCCAAACACTAATGGGTTTATCATTGAACTGATGAAGTACGACCGAATTAGAATATTGTACGTCACAAACCAGACTCCATCAGAATGAAATGTCAAAGTTTGAACACTGCGCACCGTCATGATTACAACATAAGGGAGGTAACTCAGTATGAAGGCAAATGTCACTGTAAAAGCAATGACGGTTATGCATTTTCCCCTGATTAATTTGTGCTTTGGATTTGTTGCATGTGGCATTTCTTCATCCTGAAAATCTGAATTGGTGCTTGAGATATTTCCTCTCCTTGAATTTTCATGAAGAACAAATTGTGTGTTGTTACAAATGTTTTCCTAATGTTTCCGTATTTCTCTCCAAACGTTGATATACATATAGCATATTGCAACAGATATAACCAACACTACACTTCCTTAAAATATTTGGTAAATAAAGGGGGACACTGAACCTTTCATGTTTTCACTTGTTGTACACTCGTGTCCACACAGTCCATATGTGTTTTGTTTTCACTGTTCGTTTTCCATATATTACCAAAGCTGGCAGGGAGAAGAAAAGGGCTGCAGTGATTGCTATGGCAACATGCCTCTTGGCCACCTTCGTGGTCATTTGAATTGACATGGGCTTACATACCCGTTTGTATCTGTCGACTGTTATGATCAGCAAAACAATTATCGAGTCGATATTGGGAAATGACATAAAAAAGCGAAATATCTTACATGTTATGTCACTTTCAAAAAGGTAATGATAGCGAATGTCCATGATTTCGAAGGGCATTACCAATGTGCAGTTCACCAGGTCCAAAGCTGCGAGGAAGACCAGAAGAAAAGTGTTGACAGACAAAGGAATCCTTCTTGTGAATATGAAACATACTAAAACGTTCCCAAAAAATCCGATCACCATTATGACTCCTACAAACGTCATGGCAGGGATGAGTCTTGGCCATGTTTTCATCTTCCTCCAACAAGAGGTTCTCATTTGACACGGTATAATTTGAGTGGTTGATTTTCGGAGTATGGTGATTGTGTGTAACATTCCTACAAACTGAAAATGTGTCAAGGAAATAATGTTTCGTTTTATTGAATGCAGATATAGATATAATATCCTTGTATATATTTCTTCGTATGAATGCATTTTATTTAATGCATCAATTGCAAAAATATAGAGTCAAAACATATATTTAATGCATCAATTTCTCATTGTATCGTATGAGTAGGCAAAGATAAGTACAAAAGTACAAAAATAAAGTCAAACCATCCAACATCCCTTGTGGCGTCTTTTTTGTGGTATGATCCAATGTTTTGATAACTATTTAATAGCTAAGATCACAGTGCTCATCCGTCGAATGCATTTTACTACTCTGAAATCATAAATTCGACGGATCGGTACGCGACCATCAGGAGCAGGGTATCTTAATCGGTTTCCACAATATAACCGGCAATAGACGACAACACAAGCACGCACATAGAGCTATAAAAATGGTATAAGCTATGTTGTCATTGCCATAGATTTCGGACATTTAATATGTCTGCTCATCCTGCACATAATGTAAATGTAAATATTCATTATGACAGACTTACTTATGTATTCGTTTGTGTGTTCCTTTAGTTGTCCACGTACGTCGATGGAGAATACTTCAAAATGTCGCTTGTAAATCTATGCCAACTGCTACTTATGTGAAAGCGTCAGTGTTCAACATATTAACAGAATGGGCAGGTTCCGGTTTCATCCTGGTGACAATAGACATGATGTCGGATATTCAAATTTAAAGATCTAACCATCCGGACGTTCCTAAAATATTCACGATGTTTTTCTCAAGAGTCGATGTCAATTTATTTGCGTTTATCTTAGACTGAATGCATGCATCACCAACTACTGAATTTCTCAGAGAAAGTCAGGATTGGCAAGAGAAGGATATATTTATCCTGTCGTCACACCATTGTACTTTAGAATCTGATCTCAGCAGACACTGCAGTTAAACCATGCATTGAGTTTGTTGGTTGGCTAGTTTGTTGTTTAACGCCGTACTCAGTAATATTCCACCTGCGTGGTAGAGGTATGTAAACAATCGAACCTGAACCAGACAACCCAGTGATCAACAGTATGAGCATCGATCTATGCAATTGGGATACGATGACATGTTTTAAATTGAGTCGGCGACCCTGACAACCCTATCCCGTTAGTCGCCTCTTACGACAAGCACGTTGCTGAAGACCGATTCTAACCCGGACCTTCACGGGTACCTGCATAGAGGGGAACCACACGACATGGTCCCCCATAGGCCTATCGTGTTTAGAATATCATTTTTGTAGGATTTCAAAAAGCATTGACAGAAAGTTTGAGACCGAATCATTTGATTAACGTTGTTCGTTCTCAAATAATTACAGCAGGATTTGAACTGAACATGAAGTGGCCGAATACCAGTGACGTCAGACGAGATCGGTATATGGTGACGTCACTTGAAATCACATCTGCTCGAATGACTTCACAGCAGATCAATCAGCGGCCGAATGAACTCATGTAACACAAACATGGGCGGTGGGGTAGCACCGTGGTTAAAGCGTTCTCACGTCACGCCGAACACCCGAGCACAATGTGTGAAGCCGAGTTCTGGTGCCCCCCGCCATGATATTGCTGCAATATTGCTATAAGGGGCGTAAAACTAAACTTACTCACTCACTCAGTCACTCACTATAACACAAACAACGAAATGTCAACTTCAAATCCTTTATTATTGATGATGAATAACAATAAATTATCTAAGATATTTACATAAAACGGAGTGGGGGAGCGGTGGGCGAGCTGTCTAAGGCGCCGGACTAGTGATCCAGCTAGCTATCATACAAGATGAGCGATCTTATCAGGGAAGAGGAGCCTTTCAGATGACATGCGTCACAAACACATGCAAAAGCTAGTCAATTATTCACCTGAAAATTAAACGAAAAAACACCCTGGAACATATGGTACAACCTATGGTATAGGATCCCGCTTCTGTCATCGATGCGCCAAATTTGGAAATGTCCTCCTATACGTGTCTAACATTAAACGTTTTGAAAGCTTTATTTAGGTTATGAGGACAAAAGATGTAGTTTCATTTTATGCTCAAAGTGTATTCATTGTTGAATGGGTATTGAAAATCAGACAACAACTGTTTCAGCAATATCGACATATCATGAATAACCTTGTCCAAAGAAACAAATACATGATGTGCATGATAGAGCGTACTAATGATATAGGTAATGGGACACTAAGTCTCTTATCAATGTTTAAGACAAACCGAAACAGGAGTCTCAATGACCTACTTTTCAGCCGATCCGATTTTGTTCGTGTGAAAGTGAAAAGAGACACTACAAACAACTATGGTTACACTGAATTCCAATTCCTTGTTTCATACGAAATTGGTATTTACAAATTAATTTTAAAGTTTTAAAAAATCGTATTTCTATATTTTATGTCGAGGTTTAGGCAGCATGTCGTTAACTAAGACGTCACAGACGGCCCCTGTTTGAAGAGGTCGTACAATGATTCATAATTCATCTGGCACTCTGGTTACACCTGTTATGTGTTCTTTGCGCTTATTCAGTGTATTTTTGTAACGTACAGTGTGATTCATATACATCAAATCCGTACCAGACCGCCAAACGTTTCTCCCGGCCGACCCTCGTTTTGAGATTTTCATGATTTCCAGATTTCCGTTTGTCAGAGTACGCTGTACGACAGAGCACGCTGCACGACGTGATTGCAAGGATTAGAGGATCGTTGAGTGGCAATAGACAAGTGATTAGATGTATCAAATAGTACTGATTAATATTTATATATCCAGTTGAATGAGCTGGTTTCAAACTTCTGGACTGGCTATTGTACTAAGTTGCGTAATAGGACGGAACCCAGTCAGCAGGAAACGAGACTATTGTGTAATCAATGTTTTGACTTGATACTCTGTTATGAGCAGGAGAACAGTACTTTAACATATTCTTTTGTTTAGATTTGTTTCCAAGCAGACGAAGCCTGACTTTTATTTATGCACATTCTTACAACTGGGTTTTGTTGTGCTCGATAAACGACAGCGATTGATCAACTGTAGCACGGAATCTCCGTGGGTTCGTACAGACAGACACGAACGCACGCACGGAAGCACGGAAGCACAGTAAGGTTCCACAAACACGCACACATGCCACAAACATGCACACATACAGTTGTGCATACCAAATCATGTCTGTGGTAAGCCTAATTCTACGATTAGCCACTCGCAAACTTGCTACACTTCTTAAATCACAGTCAAGGGTTGTGACTTTACAAGGAAGGTATAAATATAATCTACTCTGACACCCTGCTACTATCAGTGTCACATTTGCACTTCAGTTCTTCTTGCGGTCAACAAACTCTCGTTTTCAGATGTCCTGCGATTTGGCGACGGCCTTTTCCTATTTCCTTGCTACTTGGGGTGATTATTGAGGGGGAATTAAACAACTATTGCCATAGCGATAGTCTATTGCGACGAAGTATTGAAATACTATTGAGATAGTTTTTCTCCTTGAATTTTCCCATTTAAAGTCACTTCACAAATGAATGAATAGTTTATATATAATAGAAACAAGTTGAAATAGTTTCTCTTTTAATAACTGACAACAACCCTGAAACCGAGATCAAGTAAACAGTTAAAACCCAATGAAGCTGCAAGTCTGCACCCAAACGATAAAATAATACAATACAACATAAATATTTAATAAAAAAATTGCGCTGCCCATTTATCAACGAAAGTCAATTAAACTACACTATCGATAGTCACACATACTATCGATGCACCATGCAAAGATAATTTTACGTTCCTACCATCTCTTCTACCATAATTGCTATCGGAGACTCAACAATTGCAATCCATCGATAGTTCGATGTATCGATACAGCCCTGCTTGTTACGCAAGACACAGTTCGTAAGGGTCATAAAAACATATAGGAATGAATGAGTCATAAGAACATATAGGAATGAATGAGTCATAAGAACATATAGGAATGAATGAGTCATAAGAACATATAGGAATGAATGAGTGACTTGGGTTAACGCAGCTTTTGAGTGTTGCAGTTATAATGGTTGATTAAATGTGTTAGATACTGAGAGTGTTGCAGTTATAATGGTTGGTTAAATGTGTTAAATATTGAGTCTCACAAATTGTTGAAAACACATGTGACGACTGACCTTTGCCCTCCCAAAAGTGGACCCATCATATCAGCTGTTTTAGAAACCATGGGCTCTAGTGTTCTCTAGTGTGTGATCGTAACAGACAAGACATTTTGGGACAAATACTTTAAAACACTCACGTCGGAACCTCTTGCTCATAAACCCGTAGACAAAGGGATTTGTCATAGAATTAAGGTAACAGAACCGGATCAGGATTCTACTCAGCAGTCCATCAAGAGGCCATTTGGGCTCGGGGACACTTCGGACCGCCATGATGACAGCAAGGGGCAGATAACTCAACATGAAGACGAATGTCACGGTAAAAGCAATGAAGGTTATTCGTTTTCTGCTGGTTGGTCTCCCCTTAATCTCGTTTGGTATATCTTCACTTTGATGGCCTGGGCTTGGACCTGTGGTGCTATGTTTGGTTGAATTACTCGTATCCATTAGGACGAATTGGGTTTTCTTCCGAATGTTTATTTCATGTGTCCGTATTTCTCTCCAGATGTGGACATAAATATAACATAATACCGCGGAGATAAGCATTGCACCTAGTCCGATAGCTACCTGGTAAAAAAACCGGAATGCTGTGCCCGTAATTTTGTCAGTAGATTTACAGTCTTGACCATACAGTTCCTTCATGCTTGTTTTCACTGTTTCTGTTCCATATATCAACACAGCCGGCAAGGACAGGAGGATTGCAGCAGCAGTTGCTATGGCAACATACTTCCTAGCATCTTTAAACGTCATTTGAATTGACATTGGCCTACACACCCGTTTGTATCTGTCGACTGTTATGATCAACAAAACAAATGTCGAGTCGATATTGGGAAATGCTACAAGAAAGCGAAAGATTTTACACGCAATATCACTTTCAAAAACGTAGAAATATCGCAGGTCTATTATTTCAAACGGCATGTTCAATGTACAATTCACCAGATCCAAGGCTGCGAGAATAACCAGAAGAAAAGTGTTGACAGACAAAGGAATCCTTCTTGTGAATATGTAACATACTAAAACGTTTCCAAAGAATCCGATCACCATTATGACTCCTACAAACGCCATGGCGGGGATGAGAGTCTTGGCCATGTTTTCATTTTCCTTCCACAAGAGGTTCTCATTTGACACGGAATAATTTGATTGGTTGACGTTGAAAGTTGTCATGGTGATTTTCATAGGCGACACCTTGAACATGTCTGGAATCTAAAACACATCAAGGTGTAACAGGTATATTGTGAAGAAATTGTTGTATAGGAGTGAGTGAGTGAGTTTAGTCTTACGCCGCTTTTAAGCAATATTCCAGCAATGTCACGACAGGGAACACCAGAAATGGGCTTGACACATTTTACCCAAGCGGGGAATCGAACCCGGGTCTTCGGTGTGACGATTGAACGCCTTAACCACAAGGCTACCCCACCGACCCAGTAGTATAGTACTACTCAACAGAACCCTGAGGTGTACCAGAAAACCTGGATCGTTGGTTCGAACCAAGATTCGCTGGGATCATGGTTTGTCAGAGAGAATTCCTCCATTTATCTGGGCTCCATCCATGTTAACGTGCCTCCATAAGACCGAAATGCTGTTCACAACTCATTAAGCCAAACCTGCTCACTTACGACAATAACCAAAATATAATACATGTAACAGAACAAGTATGTAACGTTTGCTTATCAAGTCCTAGGCTCCGATCCACAGTCCTAGACCCCGATCCTTACGACTCATCGTAACTCTACACTTTATCACAGGCTTAAGAATTCCGTAGTACTACGAACATTAACGTTTTGTGGATCGGGTCCCTGGACCCTGGAAAGTTAGTTGCTGCCATACTTACTTTTAAGGGAGCCATTTTACATCCTCACGACTCAGTTTGTTGTCTGGTGTGAATTCTTTGTAAGGGTAACACAAATTCTACACAAAGTTGAAAAGGGCTTGAGATGACTTTCTTCCTATTCATATATTTATAACCCACTTGTATGTTTACAGGAAGTCATATTATCCGAAATGGAAGAGAGTTTGACATCCGCGTACAAAGGTCATGTGGATGCACAGAACATACAGGGAAAGACTTGACAAGATATATCTTTAAAGGACATGAAGAAACTCTGATAGAACTGTCACCACAACGATGATGGCGAGGTCTACAAATATTCAAATGTCCCCATTATACTTCATCATTCTTTATCATGAGGAAATTTGAATCTTCGTAAATTGTAAAGAGAAGGCTGGAGTCATCATGACGGGGACTTTAGATTATGCAGGGTCAGCATGATGTTTTAGGATAGACCTGACTGGATTAATCCAGACTCGTCGTGATTATATTTCTTGGTTTCTTAAAACCATACTCGTCCTCGAGTGAGTGAGTGAGTTTAGTTTAAAGCCGCACTCAGCAATATTCCAACTATTTGGCGGAGGTCTGTAAATAATCGAGTCTAGTAAAGACAATCCAGTGATCAACAGCATGAGCATCGATCTGTGCAATTGGGATACGTTGACATGTGTCAACCAAATCAGCGAGCCTGACCACCCGATCCCGTTAGTCGCCTCTTACGACAAGCATGGGTTATTGAAGATCAATCGTAACCTGGATCTTAGAATGCAGTCAAGTGTAATACATTTATATCGTTTTGCTCTGCTACCCCGATGTCTGTAGCATCCAGTGATCAACAGCATGAGCATGGATCTACGCAACTGGGATACAACGACATGTGACAACTAAGTCCGGAAGCTTGACCATCCGATCCTGTTAGTCGCCTCTTACGACAAACATGGGTTGTTGAAGACCAATTGGAACTCCGATCTTCTCAGGGTCGATAACTAATTAACGTCTTTGCAGAATATTTTAATATTTTTTCATTTGCTGGTTTTATAAACTCATAACTTTCATCAACAACACTGGATTACGAAATGCAAATATGTTCAGGAATATATTTATTGTCGTCTTTCACAAATGCATTTTGAAAAACCCACATTAAAACATTCCTGTCTAAACCTCAGACTCATGAATCCGTACACTAATGGGTTTGTCATTGAACTGATGAAGTACGACCGAATTAGAATGTTGTACGTCACAAACCAGACTCCATCAGGATGAAATGTCAAAGTTTGAACACTGCGCACCGTCATGATCACTGCAAAAGGGAGGAAACTCAGTATGAAGGCAAATGTCACTGTAAAAGCAATGACGGTTATGCGTTTTCCCCTGATTAATTTGTGCTTTGGATTTGTGTCATGTGGTATTTCTTCATCTTGAAAATCTGAATTGGTGCTTACAATATTTCCTCTCCTTGAATTTTCACGAAGAACAAATTGTGTGTTGTTACAAATGTTCTTTTTGTGTTTCCGTATTTCTCTCCAAACGTTGATATACATATAGCATATCGCCATAGATATGACTAGCATTACACTTCCTCCAAATATCTGGTAAATAAAGGGGACAATTGAACCCTTCATGTTTTCACTCGTTGTACAATCGTGCCCTCTAAGTTCATATGTGTTTGTTTTCACTGTTCGTTTTCCATATATTACCAAAGCTGGCAAAGAAACAAGGATGGCAGCAGCAGTTGCTATGGTAATATTCCTCCTGGAATCCTTAAATGTCATTTGATCTGACATGGGGTTACATACCCGCTTGTATCTGTCGACTGTAATGATCAACAAAACAAATGCCGAGTCGATATTGGGAAATGCTACAATAAAACGAAATATCTTACATGTTATGTCACTTTCAAAAAGGTAATGATAGCGCATGTCCATTATTTCGAACGGCATTGCCAATGTGCAGTTCACCAGGTCCAAAGCCGCGAGGAAGACCAGAAGAAAAGTGTTGACAGACAAAGGAATCCTTCTTGTGAATATGAAACATACTAAAATGTTTCCAAAGAATCCGATCACCATTATGGCTCCTACAAACGCCATGGCAGGAATGAGAGTCTTGGCCATGTTTTCATTTTCCTCCCACAAGAGGTTCCTCGTTGATGCTGAATCATTTGATTGGTTGACGTTGAATGTTGCCATGGTGATTTTCAAAGATGATACCTTTATTATGTCTGGAATGGGAAAGATATATTTGTTCAGTGAAACCCGAAACAGTTATTATATATCACGAAATATAGATTCATCAAAGTCATTGGAGGTAAAATATTTGCTGCTCTGAGCCGCAAATGGAGGTTAAATACACTCAGTGGTCACAAGTTAACAGCTATAGGTGTGACAAAATGAACTTTCGATGAGAAATAGCTCAGTTGTGAAATGTGTAAATAAAAGCGAAAAACCTTTTCCACATCTAAAAATAAATATTTACTGAAACACAGTCGATTGTACAAATCATGATCATGTGTTTATGAATCACTTTAACAATATTGATAATACCAGGTGACCTGGTATCCTGCACAACCGGTGCCACCTGTCATAAATACATGCAAAGGCTAGTCAGAATATCGAGAAAGTACTGTACAATTTAAAATAAGGAAATGCATCGGATATCATTGTTCCGTAGCTGATGGTTTTGATTGTTGCTTAACGCCGCACGCAGCAATATACCAGATATATGGCGGTGGTCAGTAAAAAATCGAGTCTGGAAAAGACAATCAAGTGATTGACATCATGAGCATCGAGCTACGCATGTAGGACACCATGACATGTATCAACCAAGCTAGCGAGCCCGACCACCCGATCCCGTTAGTCGCCTCTTACGACAAGCATCAGTTGCCGAAGACCAATTCTAACCCGGATATGCACGGCGTCTAACCACCAATTGTTATCGAAAAAAAAATTGTCCCCGAAAAGTCTTGCGAAAATGAAACCATTATCCATCGACTGCTAACACAGAGAGTGTTTTCTGTCACAAAAAAACTATAGTGTTCCAAGGATGTTTTGATAAAACGAAATAAGTAGTTTTGCGACTGTAGCCGAGAAATGAACCAACATCCGACAAGCATATAGGAGGATCATTACTAACCTGGGATTCTACTTAGATATTCTGAAAAAGACTTGCTTTAGAACTAACATCATTTCGTGACAACTACCCGTGTAACCATTTAACTATATTTTTGAGAATGCCGTGATTCTCTCACATGATCATGTTGGCTTCATGAATGCACAATTTATCATCTTGTCCTAATATTGGAACTGATCTCATGATGAAGATATCAATATCACATCTACTATATGTTTATAACATGAAATTACAGTTTATTCAGATGCATTAACATGACAATCGACAACGCTGATTTATCATAACTATCACATCTACATAACGGTGATACAATATAAACACAGCACAAATTCACACATAAGTTAACGTGTATTATCAAGACCTACCTTCACATTAGATCTAAATCCTAATCCGAAATCGATGACAATAGTATTTCCTCTGACGCATGCTTGCATAATAACAGTCAGTCCATAGTTGTTGGGAGCTGTGTTGATAGTGGCCCCAGTTATAGCTTCAGTTCATCACCTTTCGAGCATCAAATCACGTTCGTGAGTTCATCTCGTGAGACTCTACGGGACTAGTTATCCATGACTGTATCAGACATGTTGCAGTAGAGCCAAGTCTAGGTACAAGAAGACAGCTTTTCCGCTTTTTGAACGAAGTTCAGTCAGTTCTCAGAAAAACCGTCATAAAACGTCCACACTGCGCTCACTGCATATCTGAGTACAGCTGATCCTCGAAATAACGCAGCGCGTTATCAAATCAACTCATTTCATAAATGTACTTATTATCATGCACACGTTACTTAACGGTCTTGTATAGTCCCCAGGCCTCATGCACAACATGTCCTCGCTATAACGCTGATGCCTGCGTAGTTGAAGTTGAGGGGTTTCATAGCCGGCAGGTTTTGTTGCCACATACAGAACTATGAATCGGAGGTTCAATTCTTGAGCATCTATCTGTTTGTACAACCTATTGGTGCTATGAACGGAACATGTTGGTTTCCGTGAACTCGGAAGAGTGGGGAACTCAGCGACGCCGTGGACAGTTTTAATATTAGGTTATATCGGGGCGTGACAGTTTACTTTTGGAGGAAAGCCTGAACTAATGCAAGTTTCAGGTAAACTGACGTACAAAAGAAAGTACACATCTGCTTTGGGGGATTAGTTAATAACTAGGTGAATATTTTGCAAGAGTTTTGATTTACAACTTACAAACAATGTGCATAATTGTGCTAATTTACCTCACTGGCGGAAAAAACCAGTGCCCCTTTTCCTCAAAGCGATCATACCCCTCAGACGATTGTAACTCCCATACTTTAACATAGACTTACGACAGTCGTAGCGCTAAGATGATCGTAACTCCCATACTTTAACATAGACTTACGACAGTCGTAGCGCTAAGATGATCGTAACTCCCATACTTTAACATAGACTTACGACAGTCGTAGCGCTACGATCGCTTCGAGGAACGGGGCCCCCAGGAACCTAATCGATGAGAATCGCATTTCTAATGGACCTAGGGAGCATACCGATTATAAGTCCGTCCCCTGGTTCCAGACATAAGATCAGACGAATCTAACAAAATCCTAGAGTCTAGATTGCCTCAGATCTGAAATTAAGCGCGTCTTTTGGTTTCATTTGAGTTTTACTCTTTACGTTTAACTGATGCATCTTTGGATACAGAACTGTATATCTGTTAGCCTCCAAAATAGACATGAATTATCAACATCTGTATGTAAATATGGTATTGTACCATTGTAATTATTGAAATAACGGGGTCCTGATCAACAAAGCGTTCGTATCTTTACGAGCTATCGTAACTATATAGTTTATCATAGAATTGCGAATGAGGTAGTGGTACGAACAGATTTGTGGATCGGGACCCTGAACTGGAACATTCGTGACTAAGTCAAGTAGGGTCTTGACTCATTGAACTTTATGTAAATTAGTTCTGTTGACTAACAGTTATCACAATTTTGTACTGCAATAGAAATATATTATTTTTTAGACAGCTTTATGTGTGTTAATACTGAAATTATAATCTGCAGAAACGAATTCAGATTCATTTTGTTTAACCTTCAAATATAAGATATACTCTTAAAAATATTCGGTGACATGGTCATTTGTTTTCCTTGACAAGAGCATTTAACTGAGTCGAGAATTGCCATCTATCCTATGCTAAACAAATGTAAATATACGAGAAACAAAAGAATCTTTTTCCGTAGCCTGACGCCGTTGACAGTTACAGTACACCGCGTATCTAATTACTGCGATGATGGCGGTCACTGCGGTCGTCTCGGCATAACCCGACAATAGAGTATATCCTGTCGGCATGCTGTAGGTTACATATGTCGCCGGGATAATGTTGTAATGTTGATGACTAAAGCGTACACAATAGTTCCCTCCACACAAGCACCATTGTAGAGGGGCCGTGGGGTAGCCTAGTGGTTAAAGCGTTCGCTCGTCACGCCGAAGGCCGGGTTCGATTCCATACATTGAGTACAATGTGTGAAGCCCATTTCTGGTGTCCCCGGTCGTGATATTGCTGGAAGATTGCTAAAAGCTGGGCAAAACTAAACTCACTCACTCATCATTGTTGACATTGTAAGAATTGTTTAGATTGTTTCATCTGGCGTGCCTCAATTACACATTGAAAGAAAAATACCTTGAAAATTCCTTAGTCGGTTCGAATGAAGAAACTTTAATTTTCCAAACCTTTGGAAATCTTAAAAAGTCAATGTTTTTACCATTTTAACGTTGCACTATTAATTCAGCGTGGTGGTCAACAATTTTCAAACAAGGAAGGTTTTCATCCCGTATCACGTCCTTACATGGACGTGATACGGGGATGAAAACCAGATATAATGCGGGTTATCGTCGATTATCTTTTTGGTGAAACCCAGGCGTACCCTTATGTGACTGACAGCTTAGACACCGCGAATCGAACCGGCGATCATAGAATTTGGTGTGTCTGAGGGGTGCAACTCCATACAGGCGAATTGCTGCGCCGCAGGTGTGCCACCCGTATCTCCAGTCGTACAGAGTTTATTTTATGGATCTTGTAACAGCAGGTGTTATAGATACCTGTCAACTCCGTCTGTTTGTTTGTTTTGTTGGTTGGTTGGGTAACGCCGCATTCAGAAATATTGCAGATATATGGCGCTCTGGGGAGTGAGTGAGTTTAGTTTTACGCCGCCGCACTCAGAAATATTCCAGCTATATGGCGGCGGACTGTAACTAATCGAGTCTGGACCAGACAATCCAGTGATCAACAGCATATGCATCGATCTGCGCAATTGGGAACCGATGATATGTGTCATCCAAGCCAGCGAGCCTGACCACCCGATCCCGTTAGTCGCCTCTATAACACTGACTGACTGAGTTTAGTTTTACGCCGCTTTTAGCAATATTCCAGCAATATCACGGCGGGGGACACCAGAAATGGGCTTAACACATTGTGCCCATGTGGGGAATCGAACCCGGGTCTTCGGCGTGACGAGCCAACGATTTAACCACTAGGCTACCCCACCGCCCCGCCTCTATAACAAGCATGGGTTACTAAAGGCTCATTCTAACCCGGATCTTCACGGATGGCACTCTGGGGGACTCCGAGATAGACTGATTCCATGCGAACTAGGCATTATTTTCAGAGTGCCTAACTGTTGTTTCTAGTACATTTTGGCATATTGGTTTTTCCAATCCCCATTATTCTGTGTGGAATAGAGTCATTGTACCAGGTTGTAAGATCCGTCGTGGATGGGTGCTCATCAGTTTGACTGTCCAAGAACCGCTTTGTAGCTGGAATTATCCGCGCACATAAGATCGGGGATAAAAACAGTGTTTGGTGTTTGTTTGATGACGTCACAATCTACAATACTCCAGCCACATTACGTTGGTCTGTTGACACATGTCATCGTATCCCAATTGCGTAGATCGATGCTCATGCTGTCGATCACTGGATTGTCTGGTCCAGACTCGATTATTTACAGACTGCCGCCATATAGCTGGAATATTGCTGATTTTAGCGTTTAACAACAAACCAAATAACACTACAATGATCCTATATATATGACTAATTTGCGAATCTTCCGATGAACGTTGTTTAGTTTACGAGGCGCTGTAGATGTTATAACGGGGTATTTCCCTGCCTCTCGAAGAACTTTGATTTGAACTAAAAGGGCTATGTACTTTCCATCTGTCCAAATATTTTGCGCCGAACGTTTGTGAGCAGGTCTGATCACCCATCGCTTTACAAGCTGGCGTTAACGGTAATCCCACCTCAGAGTGTGCGTAACATAGATACCCACACTTGTGTTATCTGTACAAACACATATCGTTCGGTAGAATGTTCACATACGGCCAATGCAATGTTGGGACGTGATTGTGAAGCGTGATTGTGATCAATTAGCCATGGAGAATTGAAATTCTATTTCATATTAATGTCATTTATGATTATGATAATATGGACTCCAGTTAGTAGGCTTATCACTCTACCAACAAAACACCCTTGTGAAACCCGACAACGGCATTTGTATCCTGGTACAGAGTGATTACGCAATTCGTACATTTTTTAAAAAAACGTAAACATTAAATTTGTATGAGAACACTGCCAGTAGATGTCTACATAACTGGGCCGTGGCGCATTATTTAAATTTATGTTAGGTGTCCGCTTTACAAAAATGACAATTGCTATATTGTGTCAGATCATTCAGGTCGGTTCAGGTCGATGCATGTGCTGTCTAGATTGTCGAGGTAAACCTAATTTAAATTGTGAAAAAGATAAAAGCAATTTGTTTTGTATGATTTAAGCTGTTATGAGTGCGGCGTAAAACATCACTCAATCAAACTCACACCAACGCATTCACTCACAACTGTCTGTGTTTTAGCAAATGTTCATTTGCGGCATACAGTTCGACATCCGTGAAGAATCCAATGGTTTGTTCGTAATGTTTGCGTGCGTGCGTGCGTGCGTGCGTGCGTGCGTGTGTGTGTGTGTGTGTGTGTGCGTTCTTTCTTTAACACCGCAATCAGTAATATTCCAGATGGCGGCGGTTTGTAAATAACCGAGCCTGGACCAGACGATCCAGTGATCAACATTATGAGCATCTATAAGTCGAGTATATGGATGGCAACTTCTTGTTTATTGCATATCACAACGTTTCTGGGCTACTTCTTGCCCCTTCTTCAGATTATTAAAGACAGATGTAGAAAGCAAACTATATATAACAGATTTACAGGAAGCCAGATATGTACAGTGGAATCCCTCTAAACCGGCAGCCCTCCAATCCGGCATGCTCTCAATATCTGCACTAGAATTTGACGCCCTCTATAACGGCACGCCCTCTATACTGGCATTATGTGCCTGGCCCAATGAATGCCGGTTTAGAGGGCTTCCACTGTACATGTATATACAATCAGTCACAGAGGACGGATCAAAAGCAGTTATAAAAACAATGATAAATGGGATAAAGTAACGCCAGTTTGATACAAATAATGGGGATAAAGAGACAGACAGACAGATCATTTATTTGAGTCTCACCTCAACATCATACATATGTACATAGAAGGGAATAATAAAACGTGAAGCCAATCTTTACAGACTTATGAGAGACTATATCATATAAACTACAAAACTAAAAGAATATATATTTACAATACGAAGTTAAGAGTATAAAAGGGCATGTCGACGCCGAATGATAAGAAAGCAGGTTTTGGCTGTATTAAAAGACACCTGTGGATTGGACAGTAAAAATCG